TGTTTAACATTCCTGGTTTCACTAGTGTTTATTTGTGAGGACAAGAACCTCATGCCCTCTACAGGCAAATAGATTGGGCATTTTTAGGACAAGAAGATAATCTCATGATCCTCCTGCCTCAGCATTCAGAGGACTGGGATTAAATAGGAAAAATCTAAAAAAGTGGGATGGTGTTGGCAGTGGTGTTGGTGGTGGAAAAGCTGGAAGACCAACTTCAACAAGGTGATCAGCAGAGGTCTCAGTTGGTAATGTTTGAGCAAAGACTTGTAGAAAGAGAGAAAGGAGCAAGGCACCTAAGTGACTATAGAAGTTTTCAGGAAGGGGCAACGGCAAGCTGGGCATAGTCCAGAAGGAGCAAGGAAGCTCCTATGGTTGAGACAGAAGGGCCAACGCAATGACTATCAGGAAAGAAATTTAGAAAAGGAAGGAGCAAGTGGGGCCATGCCAAGAGAAATAATGAAGATGAAAGATATGATGGGATTAGTATGCCGAAGGCCCTGATGGATAAAGAACTGTTAGAGTCATGGCAACAGAAGAAATGTGACGGAAGGCAGGTTAGTATTGGAAAATGGAATACTACAACTAAACACAGGTATTTTTTTGATGTGGGTATGTGGAAATGGGGTAGAGGTGGAGAGATAGCTTCTTGGTTATCGGTGTGTGCTGCTCTTGCAGAGGATCTGAGTTCTGTTCCAGCTCCCACATCCCCTTATAGCCCCCACAGGCATTTAAATTCATGTGAAGATACCCACAGGCAGACACACATATACACATAATTTTAAAATAAAATAAATCTTAAAAAATATAGATGGGTTTGTTATACTACTAAATAGTTTAGGCTGAACTAGTAAGAGTACACTAGAAGGAGAGATACACTGTAACTTACGATTAACATTCAAAGTTGAAAACCTTAAAGAGGAGGGAAAACTATCTCAGAGCAAAGGGGATGGCCAGAGAAGTCACACACACACACACACCCAAGTGGTAGAAAGAATCAGTATGAGGAGATAAGCCATTACTTGACAGAGCTGCAGTAGACCTAATTATGTTCTTTAAGAAAGACAAGTTAGGACTGAAAAAATGGCGTTCAGAAAAACACCAATATTAGGATTTTACTAACAAATGACATAGCTCCTGAGGAGAAGGGGTCTGGGGAACTAGAAGGAAGTTGGATATTGGAGTCAGCTTTGTTTTCACATATCCCCTCCATTTTCATATTACATCATAAGCTTTGGAGATAATCATATTTCTTACTTAAATTCTTTCATTGATTACCAGTAGCAAACTACTCAGTAACTATCTATGCAAGAGAAAAATAAATGTTTACAGGATGGTGGAGTAAGAATGGCTTCCATATCCATTATGGAGTAAGAATGGCATACATACGTCCTTGGTCTTCCATTGGTGAAATGTCAGTGGAAATATAATTAGGTTTGGCACTGGGGCTGGGCTTTGAGATTTCAAAAGCCCATGCCATTCCCCCCCCCCTCTGTCTCTCCTCACCCCTTTCTTTCTCTCTTTCTGCCTTATGCCTGTGGATCAGGATGTAGGCTCTCAGCTACTGATCCAGTGCCATGCCTGACCTCCTGCTGCCATCATGGGCTCTAATCCTCTGCAACCATGAGCCCTAATAAATACTTTCTTATATAAATTACCAAATTACATTGGTCATGGTGTCTCTTCACAGATACAGAAAAGTAACTAAGATGGGTGTGATGATTGAAAAAAAACAGAATATTCTCCTTGGGCTTCTAAGTCCTAGAATTCTGAGTTCTGCTCTGAAGACCAGAGCTGCTTCTAAACCTGCTGCCTTGTGAATATACTAATGAATCAAATATCCAACTCTCCTAGCCCAAGCTGTACAAAGTAAAAAATCGCTTAAATATCTTACCCATCATTTCTTTGAGGGGAAAAATAGCTAAACCAGTTTCCAAGGTAATTTGCAACTCCTGTGATTTTTCTAGGGAATTTGGCAAAACATGGTGATGATTAGTGACAAGGGTGATGATCTTATCATAAGCAAGACTGGCATCTCTAGAGATCTGTGTAATTACCAGGAGTGTGCCAGCCTCTGAACCATTGAAGGAACTGATGAGATGGGCCCATCTGATGATTTGATACAGAAGCATACATGTAGCCAGGCAAAGAATCTGGAAACAGAACCAAGTGTGTGATCTAAAAGCTGAGTCACACCAAGTAACACTGCCACTCCCTAGTTTTTGTGTCACTGCGGCCAGAATTGAGTTTGGTAACAGGGTTCTCTGGAGCCCTTGAGCCCATGTTAATAATGAAAATGTAAAGCCCTCTAAGTCTTTCAAAATTACAAATATAACTGAAACCTTTTCAACATTATTTTTCCCCTAAGACTGAGCCCTCCAGTGTGCCCAGAGGCCATCCCAGAATGTACCCCACCAATTGTTCCTCTTCTTTCCCCTCCTTCCTTTATTACCTTTTCTCACACCTTATAATCAACAATTTTTTTTTCTTTCTTAAAACACTTAGCTTCCATGGTAGTTTAAATGTAATTGTCCCCCAGAAGTTCATAAGGAGTGGCACTATTAGGAGCTGTGGACTTGTTGGAGTAGGTGTGACCTTGTTGGAGGAAGTGTGTCACTGTGGGGATGGGCTTTGAGGTCTCCTACATTCAAGTTACACCCAGTGTGGACACAAGCTACTTCTGCAGACTGGTGATCAAGATATAGAACTCTCAGCTCCTTCTCCAGCATCATGTCTGCCTTTTCTCCACTACATCCCACCATAATAATAGACTGTCTTAGTTAGGGTTTATATTGCTGTAGAGAGACAGCAGGACCACGGCAACTCTAGGAAAACACTTAATTGAGGTGGCGCACTTACAGTTCAAGGTCCAGTCCATTATCAGCATGGTAAAACATGCAGTGTGCAGGCAGACATGGTGCTGAAGAAGTAGCTGAGAGTCCTACATCTTGTAGACACCAGGAGTTGTCTGAGTGTCTCACAGAGCGTGAGCTGGGAGTCCTCAAAGCCCACCCCCCCAGTGACACTATTCTTCCAACAAGGCCATACATAATAAACCCATACCTCTTAATACTGCAGCTCCTTTTGGGGGCCATTTTCTTTCAGACCACCACATGGACTAAACCTCTAAAACTGTAAGTCTCCCCAATTAAATATTTTCCCTGAATGGAGGCCTAGAGAGGCCATTGTGGAAAGCTGTGAAGGTGAAGCCTGAATTGTTGTGGAGACCTCAAGGTATTGTAGATACCAGAGCCGTGGGATACCCACTGAGGAAAACTGCTAGTAAGGAGTGGAACCAGCCCAAGAGAAAAGTATGTTGCAGTCAACAAAGCTGAAAGGAGTTGGAGTTCTGAAAAGCATTTTGACACCAGACATTAAGATGCAGAGTTTGGAGTTTGCCCACATGATTTCTAGTCTTGCTTTGTTCCAGTATTTCCTCACTATGCTCCCTCTCCTAAGTTTTGGGACGGTAATATATATCCTGTCTCAGTATATGTTAGAAGTATGTGGTCTGTTTGTTGATTTTATAGATTAGTTAAGAGGTTGCAGCAATCTCAGAAGAGACTTTGAATTTTTAAACATTACTGAGACTGTGATAGACTATGGGGACTTAGGAAGTTGGACTAAATGCACTTTACTTTATGATATTGTTATAACCAGTGGGGCCAGGGAGTGGAATGTCGTAGTTTTGAATGAAGTTGGCCTCCTTAAGCTGGTAAGGAGTAGCACTATTAGGAGCTGTAGTCTTGTTGGAACAGATATGGCCTTGATGGAGGAAGTGTGTACTGCAGAAGTGGGCCTTGAGATCTGCTATACTCAAGCTATAGCCAATGTGGACCGACTCCTTTGGCTGCCTACGGATCAAGACGTAGAACTCTCAGTTCCTTTTTCAATACTATGTCTGCCTGCATGCTGTCTTGTCCTACCATGATAATGAACTAAAGCTCTGAAACTGTGAGCCACCCCAATTAAATGCTTTCCTTTATAAGAGTTGCTGTGGTCATGGTGTTTCTTCACAGCAACAGAAACTCAAAGAAAGCTTCATGTTTGCTGTTTAACCTTTAATTGTCAGTTACCATTTAGTTCTTGGCCCTATAGAATTGTTAATAGTTCTGTCACAGGTATAGTCCAGTCACATTGTGGTAGTGGGTTCCGGGTGCAAAGGAAAAGTTAGCTCAGTTTCTTCTCCCTGTCTCTCATGAGTTCACCGTCCTTCTACCATGTTATGACACAGCAGAGGCCCCCTCTACATGCCTGCATCATACTCTTGGACTTCCCAGCCTGAGTACTAAGTTACTCAGTCTATGGTGGTTTTTAATGGCACCCAAAATTAAACTGATTTCCTATTTAGTTATAACTTTTCTATTATTTTTATTGTATATGGTAAATGAGTGCATGAATAAGTGTGTGCAGGATGCATAGGCCAGAGGACAAAGAGTTACACTGCTCTCACTGAACCTGGAGCTTGCCAGTTCGACGCCAGGCTAACAGCCAGAAGTCCCAGCAATCCTGTATGTGTATCCTCCAGCGCTAAGGTTAAAGCCTGTGTGACCATGCTTGGCTTCTTGTAGGGGTAAAGGGCTCTTAACTCAGGTCCTCAAACTGATGTAGCAAGTGGTCTTATCCACTGAGCCATTTCCCTAGCTACATTTTCTATTATTTTGGTAAAAATGAAAACAAAACATAGCCACGTTACATCAAGAAGTAACTTTATCCCAAGGGAATTTACCAGAAGATATATTTGACATGAATTCATGTATTGGTAAGTGATGCACATACTGTGCCATTCACAGCAACACAACTGCTCACAATTTTCACCCAGCTGCTAACTTACCTTACATCACCTCTATGAAAAAGAGACTAGAGAGTATTCTTGAAGATGGCTTTCTAGGAAATGTATGAATGGGGCAAAGGATGTCAAAATGCAGCACAAAGCCGCAATGAGCCCTGAGTCTGCTTTGGAAAAGTTGATCAAGCACAGTTTAAAGTGAAGACTTGTAAAATCCTTAAAAGACTTAAAAGTTTTAATGGCCTTTTAAAAAACATCCATCATAAACAGAAAATGAGTAGACTGAGCCAGTGGGAACACTTTCTGAATACATGCATGTGAGAAATCATGTTTATGCATGGCATGACCGTTCACATATGTGGTTACAGAGAAATGAAAGTCAATTTGGTGATTTTCATTTTAGATTGCCATTTTAAGAATGAATGGCATTTGTTCAAATAGAGGTACAACAAGGAAAAATAAATATTTGAATATAAACAGCATGGAATGAAGTTGAGTGCTGAAACTAAGAGTTATATAAAATGACAAACTAAGAGTTATATAAAATGACAATTTAGAAGTTGTAAATGCTCTTATACAAACTGCAGGTAATATATGGATTAATTTGCCAGAATCACAGCCCTTATAAATAACATATCTATAAAAACCTGATCAAGTTGAGTCATTTAAAGAAAAACTATTTTAAAAGAAAATAATTCTGGTAAGCTGGAATATAAAACTGTTAAAGACCAAATGGCAGAAAGATGGCTGACAGAGGCCTGATAAAAACATGAAGGGCTTGCAGTTCTGAGGTCCCTCTGGAGCTAAGCAAGCCAGTGAGCCCTGCTTCAGAGCCAGAGAAGCCCCTCTGCTACAGTTTAACATGCACCGAGAATCTGTAAGCCATTTCTGTGCTGGCTCCCTTTGTATGCCAAAGAAAAGTCCTGAAAACCACTGTGACATCTTCCCAAACACAGAGAACTGAGACATGTGAAAAAATAATGGTTTCAAAAGAGAGGTAAAAGAACAAAAAGAAAAAAATCTGTATTGGTCTTTTCTATTGATAACTGATTTGTTACTAATAAGTCATGCTGTGGAGCCCAGGTTCTTGAACTGTGGGCCATGGCCCCATAAGCAGTCATGTACTGACTGAAAAACCTGACACCAGTAAAAGGTTTCTAATGTCTAATGCACAATGGGCAGTAATTAATTCAAAACCAACTGTGTAATGAATCTGAGGTGTTTCTGGTGGGGCTTACCCATATTATATCACTCAACTTCACTGAGGCCTTGGCTCTGAGGACACACCCAGTGCAGTAGTTCAGTCCTAACTACACAGCCGCCATGTCATGCAACACCAATAAACACTCACGCCTGAATACCTCAGCTCAACTCAGGTTACTTTATGTATTATGAATTACAGCCATTTTACTACACAGACTAGCTTTTTCTGAGAAGCCGACAGAAAACAAAACCACAGGTGGCAGCAGAGGGACTCAGTAACACTGACAGGAATGCTGACTGGTGCTGACATCCGCTTAAGAATATGTGACAAATACACAATTCTAAATGTTAAATTGTTAGTGATGATTGGCCACTTCACAGACAGGCAAAGTATTTGACATCCATAGTTTCAGGCAAACATTACAGAATCTATTCCAAAAATATGGTGGTCAAGAAGCAGTATGTTTTGAAGGGTAAAATTGAGATAACTCTATTCTTCAAAACAAACATTAAATCCACACTATCGAAAAATAGCAGTTAGGAAAGGGTATTGTTTCTGTGTATTCTTTTTCTTTTTAAATGTTCTATCAGGTTTTATGCTTAACATAATACATTCTGGACTTAGGAAACAGTACATTATTGAAATGAAAATGGAATTTTGATTAATAAATAATTCACACTATATGTTTAAAGAAAACAAAAATATCATTTTTAAAAGGCAAAAATATCTAAAAAAAAAAATCAATGCACAGGGCCATAGCAAGAATAAAAATGATCTCTCCCAATTATGCCATTAGATAGAAGAAATGGATTTCTCAATTATTTGCTTTTCTTTGTTGTTTTGAAAGGTATTCTACTGTGAACTGGCTGGCCTGGAACTCTCTATGAAGGCAGGCTGGCTTCTGATGGCCCTTTTGCCTCTGCCTCTCAAGCACTGGGATGATGTGCCACCATGCTTAGTCAACAATTGCAAATTTTGATCTTAAATGTTTGGTCCTCACAACTTTAATGGACAAAGCCATCTCAGTCACTTCGTCAGCTTATACTGACCTAGTTATGTAGATTCTGGGATGACCTATCAAGATTGTGTCTGGACTTAGTGTGAGCTCTAGGAGAGTGAGGCCTGTGACCTGAGTTTTTGCACAGAGAACTGAGAAGGCAGCTGAAGCCTTGGTTGCTGCTTTAAAGCTGACAAAACTAGTAGTTGTCAAACAGCACCAGAGTTCTTGAGAAGGATATATATGTGTGTGTGTGTATATATATATATATATATATATATATATATTATCTACAAATATCTTTCCACTGGTTGATTGTACACTTTTAAAACTGAGTAAGCCCCTTGTTTTTCATGAAGACTCATGTGAAAACAGTTTTGTATAATGCATCATTGAATCAGGAAAAGGGACAAATACAGAGTCACAGGTACAAATTTAGTACTACTTGTCTTAAGGAGCCCTCTCAGTCATAAATACAGGCTTTGGCTTACAAAATATTTACTATAAACAGTATAGCAACCTGCAAACCACATCATCCTATAATTATTCACTCACTCTGACAACATTTAAAAATGCCATTTTCATTATAGAAAGTAGACAACAAACCAACAAATCCCTGCTTTTCCCACATCAAATTCAATTCCAAATAGCACTCTTAAAATTTCTATAAATCACTAACAATCACTGAATTTATTGATCAGAGATGGACTTGCTACTGTCCTCTTCAAAAAATATAAAATGTATACTTTAAACAGATAAAACACATATAAAAAGTTGGGTTTATATGAGGAACACTGGGAGTGAAATGCACATAAAGTAGATATATCATTCTGTGGAAGAGATGGCATTGCTCCACACAGCTTATGAATCCTGAAGTTTTCCTGGCTCCTTCTATTTCGCAGCTGGGTTTTTGGGAGGAAGGAGTTTGTATGTGTTGAAGTAGCCCACCACCTGCTGGGGAATCTCTGCCAAGACACACTGAGCAAGTGCTTCTTTTGGAGCCTTGAGGAAAAACAAAATCACAGTTATTACCAACTGTAGACTTACTGGCTTGCTTGTTTGTTTGTCTCGTGTAGCTCAAGCTGGCCTTGAACTCACTATGCAGTCGAGGAAGACCCTGATCTCTCCATTCTCTTGACTCTCCCTACCAAGTGCTAGAAGTGCAGGTATACACAACCACATTTGGCTGATATACTGGCTGCTTGATAAAAGGCTAGAGATAACTCAACAATCATTAAATGTAGTAATTCCAACCTCTAGGCTTGTACCTTAGGAATAGTCCACATAATATGGGAAACGTAATCCATGTTATTTATAATTGCCATCATTATCATTGCTTATGTGTCAAGTTCTTTGGTGCTGGCTGTTTCATATTTGATAATTCTGCTGTTGTTATGGCTCTTATTTTTTGAGGCAGGGTGTCACTATGTAGCCCTGCCTGGCTTGGAAATCGCTATGTAGACCAAGCTGGCCTTAAACTTACAGAAATCTGCCTGCCTCTGTTCCCCAGGTGACCTTGATATCCTTTCTATCTCTGTTTGCTGACTGCTGAGACTATAGGTGTATGCTAACATGCATGGCCTATTTTTTTTAATGTATCTTTAACTTCTCCTTTTTTTTTAAAGTTATGTTAAAAGACTGTTCTACTTGTGCCTAAAGACTTTATGTCAGTCATCCAGCCCACTGTAGGTGAACAAGCCATAAGAAACAAGCCAATAATCAACATTCTTGTAGCCTCTGCTTCAGTTTCTGCCTCCAGGTCCTCCCTGCATGATGGATTGTGATATGGAAATGTAAGCAAAATAACCTTTCTTCCCCGTGTTTCTACAACTCATAGTTCTTATCACTGCAATACAACTCCTAACTAACACAGCATGCAAATTCATCCTCTCTGCTTGACTGTGGATATACTGTGACCAGCTACCTCAGACTCTTTCTGCCATGCCTTTCCCACCAAAATGGACTAAGAGCCAAAGGAAAGATTTCCTTCTTCAAGCTGCCTTTGCCAGTAATTTCACAACTATGAGGAAAGTAATATAAAAGTAACAAAAATCTTAGCATATTCGTAATATAATTTTAAGTTTATCATACTATTATAGCAAAAGCACAAAAGATACAAAAATGCCCAATCAAATCAAACTTCTCACATGCAAAAGCATCTTGAAGGTCTGGGTTTAAGTCAGAAGGAATGGTACTCACATTCTGGAATTGTCTGAAAGGCACAAACTGAACAATATCTCTTATGGCCACCTCTCCTGATGGGGAGCGGAGACTTCCCCCATCACCATCCAGAAACTCCATGGCACTGAAGTCAGCTCCCCCAACTCCCACAATGATGATAGACATGGGCAGCTTGGAAGCATTGACGATAGCATGTCTGGTTTCATCAAGGTCTGTGATAACGCCATCAGTGATAATCAAGAGCACAAAGTATTGCTGCCAAAAAAAGTAAACACGTCTACTAAGCAAGTGAAGGTCAAACAGTGAAAGGAGTTATTGAGGTTAATGAGTCATGGGTCTCACTCATTTTCATTGCCAGCCTGTATCTAGGATACCATCTGCTTAAAATACTCTGTAATTCTCTGATGACAAGGATCAACTCTTGTAGAATCTGAAGATTCATTAGAAGTGCAACACACCAAAGAACAGGTTGGAAAAATACACAGAAGACATCTAAATGTCAAAGACAAACCTTTCAAGTAAGCAGAGGAATAGACATTCATTAAACTGAACCACTAAACATGTCAAAGACTGGAGCAAGGGAGCAAATGAGAACTCCATTCTCAACAGATCCAAAACTCATTCAGAAGAATTATCTATCCAACTAAAACACATGCTTTAAAAAAAAAAGAAAAAAAAATTGTCTTGTTTGATAGTTTCCAGAGTAGTAAAATATCATATAAAGTTGTGATTTCATTTTTTGGGCCAGCTAAGTCTAGGATAGGAATGTTTTCTCTGACCCAGGCACTGTTCACTTTACATGAATTATCTTGTTCAACTTTTTCAACACCTACACAACAGGGCTCCCATGATCCCTGTCCCTGCTTCTATTACAGCTTGAGAGATTTGGTACCCTACAACTGACAGGTATTGGTCAGCTAATTCAAACCTCTGTAGTATAGTAAGTGAGATAATATCAGCAACTGATTAAAGTGTTCAAATGCCTTCCATGAAGTATGTTTCTAAAGGATAAGTAATAGCCCTTCCTGCCCTTGGTAGAATCTAAGCAAATTACTTCCAAAGCCAGAGAAAAGACTCATAATTGCAAGCATTATTTTGTTTTGATATTGCTCCCAAACTAATGCTAATTATACCATCACTTCTTTCTCTTGACTTAGTATCCTGACAAACTCAATAAAGTGTATGACAAGCAGGAAGAAGTACCAACCACACCCTTCCTGCTCCTGAACCTAGAGCACTTACAGATGCTGTCTGCTGCTGTGTGGCTGCAGCTGCAAACCTGGCCACGTGATTTATAATTGGAGAAAAATTAGTTGGTCCATAGAGTCTTATCTGAGGAAGACAGGTCCGATAAGCCTCTATAATGCCTTGGATTCCTAGATCAAAGAAAGTAGTATTAAAAATCCTCAAATATAATTTGTTAATCCACACTACTGGGAAGCACAATTATATACATATCAGGTCTGGTAAATGATGGGATATTATCCTAGCTCTAGGGAGGTGGAAAGTATCAAAATCACCTTGACTATATATAGTGAGTCCCTATCACAACTACAGAACAAAAGGAAACAACAAAAAGTGCCTTGACTAGGGAAGAATTCCACATTCAAGTGTTCTTCAGTGTTATACTTCATAATAAATAGCTACAAACAGCCTCTCCAAGCAGAAAGCATGCATTTTTATCACAGTTGGGACTTATACTCATGTGTAACTTTGATGTTTTTGATGAAAAAGGTGCAGCATCTTACAACTATTAAGCAGAAAGAAAATAATTAGTAAGATGAACTCATTTGCACACGTAATCAAAGTTCTATAAAAATATAAGGTTATAAGGCTGATTAATTCTAGTTAATTAGGTGATATAAGTAAAGGTCAGACATGGTATAGTGGACAGCATTAGTTTTATTCACATAGGTTATTTCTTGTATTTTTGCTATGGAAACTAAACAGTTGGGTCTGCCAGTCTTAGGAATAACAAGTTGGATAGGGCTATATATGACTCAATGTATGTAAGTGTGCAGGACCCCAGCGTTTATACAGATGCTTTAAGAGCTACTGCCTGCTTTCTCTAGCTCTTGTACTCTTTTTCTGAGTCACAGGAGCAGCAGGTAAAGAGCTGGTCCTTCAGGCTGAGTTCCAGACTAAGAAACTTGGGAGAGCTGGGTGAGGTGATACATCTACAGTTCCAAGTACTCAGGAAACTGAGGTAGGAAGATGCCAAATTTATAGCCTGAACTACACTGCAACACACTATCTTATAAAACACAAACTAAAAAAGAAACATGGATAACATGTGATCTAGCTACAAGTCAAATATTTCTGTTAAAACAGCATGGCCTGAGCTGGGCGTTTTGGTGGTGCACACCTTTAATCCTAGCACTCAGGAGGCAGGTGGATCTCTGTGAGTTCGAGGCCAGCCTGGTCCCCAGAGCGAGTGCCAGGATAGGCTCCAAAGCTACAGAGAGAAACCCTGTTTCACAAAACCAAACCAAACCAAACCAAACAAAAAACAGCGTGGCCTGGTGAGCTGGCTAGTATCCTGGTGGAAATGCAGTCTACAAATGAGTATCCTAGGTATGAATGTGTTGATTCTGTCCTCAATTATGCTACAAATCTTAAAAGAATGCCCTGCACTGCTTTGAAACCACAGAAACTTATCTATGGTGAATTTTAAGGGAAGTTTTATTTTCTTCCTTTAGTGTGTTTTACATTTTTATTCACTTGTGACTTGTGGGTAAGGTATATGTGTGTGGTGACTTGTGGGTAAGGTATATGTGTGTGGTGTATATGTATGGAACACACAACTGAATGTGCAGGTATGCATGTTTGTACACACCACACAGACACCAGAACAAGGTGTCAGGTGTCCTCCTCCAAGGCTCTCCATCTTTTGCCTTAAAACAGGGAATTATATAAACCATTTTGGTTAGGCTGGCTAGCCAGTATACTCTCAAGATCTACCTGTCTGTGCCCTCCAGTGGGGTTATAGTAATGTGCTTTTTACATGGGTGGCTGGGATTTGAACTCAGGTCATCATGTTTGTACGGGACATGTTCATATTCACTGACTTATCTCCTCAGCCCTGTAGAAGAATTTTCAACCAAAACAGGTCTCTTACTTTCGATCAAGGACAAGAATGAAACACCAATTCTCTCCTCTTAAAATTTAAGAGTTCCAAAAAAACCCTCATTTTGGTCATATTGAACTTAAGAAACAAGTATACTTGAGCAACCTGTGAGAACAATTCACGCATAGATGGGATTTCACATGTATAAACTGATGGTGTAATTAGGAGTTAGTCTAGCAGTAATAACAATAATATTAACCATAGCTAGCAACATCAGTAACTGCACTGGAATACACCGTAAAAAAACAGCATGTAATTTCAGCAACAATAGTTGTGTGGTTTGAAAAAGAATGGCCCCATAGGCTCACAGATTTGAATGCTTGGTCACGAGGGAGTGGTGCTATCTGAAAGGATTAGGAGCGTGGCCTTGTGGGAGGAAGTCCATTACTGGGGTGGGCTTTGAGGTTTCAGAAGCCCATGCCCAGCCCAGAGTCTCTCTTTCCCCTCAGCCTGAGGATCCAGATGTAGAACTCTCAGCTACCATGTCTACTTGCATGCCACTATGCTCCCCATAATGGACTAAACTGTGAAACTCTATGCAAACCCCAATGAAATGCTTTCTTTTGTAAGAGTTGTCATGGTCACGGTGTCGATTCACAGCAATAGAACACAGATAAAGACAAAAGTATTTTCCCCATTTGTATTATTATGCTTGCTTTGTACCCTGAAGGTTTTAACAATTTACTCTCCTGACAAATATAAAGTCTTCAACTACTCACCTAAAACTGCACTATACTGAAATCCTTCCTTGCATTAAAGCAATAAATCAAATGTTAATTCTAGGGAACTAGGCTCAATGATATCTTTTAAAAAAAAGGAATTTAACTTTGGTGTCTTAAAATAAGGCCGTACTTTTTCTAAATAGCATATCTTTGATCCATAACCAAATTGGTTGTTTTTCCAGGCTTGATGAGCAGACCAAGGATGGGTTCACACTTATAGAGCAATAAACTTCTACAATGAGTTGTCATATGACATAAGTCATCTATATTCCAAAACAATTCCAATTTCAGATAAGCATCGAGAACATTTATTTTATTTTTAACAAATGGTTTTATAAACTTTATCATTAAAAACTTAAATAAAATCAGACACCAAGATGAACACACTAACAAAAGCACATCTTTAAAATAAATTGAATTACAAATATCTAGACATAAAAGAGGTCACAACCATGCACCAAAAGTGTCTCAAAGGAGTACTGAATTAATTAGTACAGAAAAGGCATCTTAGGGCCAGGTGGTGGTGGCTCATGCCTTTAATCCCAGCACTTGGGAGGCAGAGGCAGGTGGATCTCTGTGAGTTCGAGACCAGCCTGGTCTACAAGAGCTAGTTCCAGGACAGCCTCCAAAGCCACAGAGAAACCCTGTCTCAAAACTCCCCCGGAAAAAAAAAAAAAAGGCATCTTAGAATGAAGAAGAAAATGTTTAAGAAAACTGCCCCCATAAGTGGCCCTGTGATCTTCCAACTTGTGATTATTTACAAAGAAAAGGAAAGAATACCTTTGTCTCTAGAAGCTATGCACTTTGTAGATGCTAAAAGGGACCCTCTGCAGGATATCAATTTAGATCCTAGAATTTTAAGTAGTGTCTCCAACCCTACATCTACCTTTCCTGCCCCCATTCAGTCTTACATAATTTAGTAGGAGTCTTGGCATTTCAGGTTGGTTGTTCAATCTGATCTTTCAAATTATTTTTAAAGAGGAAGCACTTGTGCATCTGAAGTATAAAGTAAAACATGAAATGAAAGACAAGCACCAGCTTCCTGCTGTCTACAGAGCTGTGTTAGGAGCTCAGCTCTGTTCTTGTCATCATCCTATCTACTGAGTGAATACTGTGCAAGCAGCAAGGAATGTGAAGACTGACACTTTGCACTGGAGAAGACTGATTGCTTCTCTGAAAGTTCTCTCCAGTCTTCAACACTGAACTCCTCATTTATGGAGTTTATTTTATAGTCAATTTATATGTGAAAAGGCCTTTACTTTTATGATTTTTAGTGGCTTACTCTTCATCATCATAATACTGATTTGCCTCACAATTCTCTTTACCACTGTAGTCACCAACCTGGGGCGATTTTTCTACTATACTCAACAGAAAGTTAAATTTGTTAAAACCTGAAAGTTAGAGATGAACTGAGCAGCTCTAACCTGAAAGAAAAAGACAGGAATGAGTTAAGTGGTCTTCATGTCTGGCTTTTTGGCTTTACTTACCATTACAGTAGGGATTAGATGGGTTGAAGTTCATTGGAAATTCATGAGAAACCTATCAAAAGAAGAAGAAGAAAAAAAAGGCTGATGAGGCCTGTTTTCCTAGTCCAGAATAAAACTTTGAAAGGTGATTTCCTGTCAGCTCAACCCTTTTCAGGCCTGAGTGGATGGTGGACACAGATGGATCCACCCTGAGACTTCTTGGTCTGGGGGAGTAAATCAACCAGAAGCCTGCCTAACAACTCTAGTGCAAGGCATGCAAGAGACATAAAGCAACAGCTTCACACCATGCCTCACAGCTGGGGGAGGCAGGACTCAACCAAGAACCCATGAGACCCAACCAAGATCTGTGGCAGCGTGCTGTCGGGCACCATTATGATGAGCAAGTACAGGGTGGGGAAATGGAAGAGAGAGAGGGAGAGAGGGAGGGAGACACAGACAGAGAGAGAGAGAGGGAGAGGGAGACACAAACAGAGAGAGGGAGAGCGAGAGTGAGAGCGAGAGTGAGAGCGAGAGTGAGAGCGAGAGGGAGAGGGAGAGGGAGAGGGAGAGGGAGAAGGAGAGGCAGAACAGGTCATGTGCTGGGGAGAGAGCCAGATCTAAAGAGGTGACAGTGGTGAGGAACAGGCTAATGTGAATGGCCTGCTAGCCACCTGAGTTCAAGGTAACATCTGGGCCTCAGCTAGACCCAAGGGCCAGGTCTTTGTCTAAGGCCCTGAAGCAGTCAAGGGGTCCTGAGTTGATGTCTATGGTTCCTGTTGTCACTGAGACCTGTGTGAAGTCCTTCATTCTGGGCCACCACCTGGAGCCATCCATGTTCGTGTCCAAGGGCCATGCCAATCTGGGTGGCCTTGAGTTTCTTCCTGGGGCCACGGTGACATCCTGGTCAGGGCTGCTGCCGAGAACCACATCTGGGTCCATGATCCTACCACAGCTGGGGTCTGAGTTGATGTCTCTTGCCTGAGGGGCCAGGGAGAGGCCACGTGGATGCCCAGGGTCTGGGCCAAAACCTGTGACCATGTTGGTGTCTGAGGGCTATGTCACTGCCAGGGCCAAGGCAATTAGAGTCATCTTGGTCTTTATCTAGGTCCATGACCCTGGCTTAGCTGAGGTCTGTGTTGATGTCCATGGCTCCTGAGACAATTGAAGGCCATGCTGATGCCAGCAATCTGAGCCACCACCTACGGCCATGCTAGTGTTCAAGGGCCACACCACCATGGGGGCCATGCTGATCAAGTGGTCTGGGCTGCTGCCTACGACTATGTCAGGGTCCCTGTCCAATAACAAACAGGGCCTGTGGCCCATGTTGCCACCAAAGACCATACAGATGCCCAGGGTCTGGGCTACAACCTGTGGCCATGAGGGTGTCTGAAGGCCATGGTGTCATCCAGGTCAGGGTTGTCGATGAGCACCATGTCTGGATCTGAGTTGTCTGTGGCTCCTGTTACCACCAAGGGCCATGTGGATGACCAGGGTCTGGTCAGCCACCTGAGAACATGGAAACATCCAGGCCCAGGCCACTGCCTATGGCCATATCTGGGTCTGTGTCCTTGCAGCAGCTGGGATCTGGGGTGATGTCTATGGTTTCTGTTACCACTGAAGGCTCTGAAGATACCCAGGGTCTAGTCAGCTATCTAAGACCATGATGATGCTTGACTGCCATGCAGCCACTGGGACCATATCAATCCCCATGGCCTATGCTGCCAACTAGGATGATAGTGACTTATGGGTCTGAGCTGCTGCCATGGGTCATGTCTGAGTCTATGGTCCTACAGCAGCTGGGATGTCAGTGATATTCTTGGCGTGTGTTAGCACAGGGCAGGTAGGGGGTGATCATTCTGTGCTGAGTCAGCCCTATCCCTTGCTGGATACCAGCAGGAGAGCTGGCCCCACCCCTCAGGAGAGAGCTGCCCTCTCCACCATCATTCTCCCACCCCAACCCCCCGCCATGGCCCCATCCCTCACCATAGGCATGCACCTCACCTGGGCAATGCACTAGTGTTGACCCTTTTGTCAGGGACACAGGTGAGGCAGCTTTGAGGGCAGACTCTGCCCCAACTTGTCTGCCACAAAGTGGCATAGGTGAAGGAAAGATGCCCTAGGGTCACTAGAGTGAGAGAAGTAGCCTTGCCCCTTACCAGCTGGAATACACACGAGTACACTAGAGCTGACCCTGTTGTCAATGCACAGGGGAGCCAGCCCTCAAGACATGAGATTAGGAGAGCTGACACCCACCCCCCATGCCACCACCTACAGCAATCAGGAAACAGGGGCCTGCACCTTGCCTGGGCAAAACAGTAGAGCTAGCCCTGGTGGTGTAAGTGTGGGTTATCTAGACCCAGATCTGAGAACCTAAGAGCAGGAGAATTGGCCCCATTCCTTGCGGCAGGCTGCACAGGGTTGTTTATTTTTGTTTGGTTTTGGTTTTTTAAGTTTAGTTTTGTTGCAAGGGCAGATTCGAGCGAACAGGAGATAAGTGGGATTGGAATGCAAGATATGAAATACACAAAAGAATCAATAAAAGAAAAAAAATTACCTGCCACTGAGGAGGCACCTGAGCTCCAAAGCCAAAAGCTGGAAACATCTTGTCACTAAAAAAGAAAACAAATCAAACAATATTTGCTAAAAAAGGTATTTATTAATACTAAAAGTAGCATGAGCTTTTATATTTTAAAAAATTCAAAGCCATAAAAAATTATAAAATAAAAATTACCTAGCAGTCTCTATACTAATGCCAATGCTAACTTTGGAAAACACTCGTTTTAAATGTTAAAAGAAGAATATCTCTACAGTGGTGTGTGTGGTGTGCATGTCTGATTTACATTTATGTGTGTACCTGTGTATAGCCCCATGGAAGCCAGAGGAGGATTACAGTATGTTCATCTATCAATCTCCATCTTAATACCTGGAGAGAAGCATAAATTAAAATTTATGGGCAAGAGATGGCTCAGTGGTTAAAAGCACTTCTTGCTGAAGGCTTGGGTTTATTTCCCAGCAGCTACTTGCTGGACAGCAACCATCTGTGAGTACATTTCAGGGGACCCAATACCTCTTCTGACATCCACAGGCTCCTGAACACATGTGGTGCACATATAAAAACACACACACACACACACACACACACACACACACACACACATGTTAAATAAATAAAATATGTCTCAAAACCTACTAGTTTCCATTTAAACCTTGTGCACTATTTCCCAGAACGAATATAACCCAAAAACAAAACAAACATTAACAACCCCACATCTTTTAAGCAAGGCTTTGGCAGGAAAACTGAGCTTCAATTAATAAGATTTATAGCATTTACTTATGTCAGTTGAAGTATTCATACATTTGGCCACAAAAACACTGTGCAAAATGTCATCTATTATAAAACTCAAATTTCTGCAAGAAAACATGCCCATTTGGAGCCTGTGGTTTATGGACACAAGAGTGTGGACCTGAATATATAATATGAGAGTTGGTACTGACTTGTCCAGGATGCGGGAATACTCCCAGCGTCATACTGATGAACGGCCAACGTATCTTACCCTAAAACACCACCTAACACACTGTTTTCTAGTGTAATAGTCTGTGTGCTCACTTGTATTTACTACATTTATTTACTTATTTGTTTATTCATTTATTTACTTGTTTATTTATGTGTGTAGAGGGATGTGCTTGCTACAGCATGTATGTGGAGAACAGTAAACAACTCAGGTTGTCAGGGGCACCTTCACCTTCACAATAACCTCACTCATCCTGAATTACTAGTTCTTAACATCTGGGGCTTATTTACAATTAAAGATAGAACCCATTTCATGTCAAAAATATTTTTACTAGTCTGTAGCCTGTCTAATGTTTAGAAACTTTCATAGACATTCTTTTAAAATTCTTTTATTAATGAGTCTATGAACGTCCAAAGGGACACCAGTTTCCCCTTTACCATTTCCATCTCCCAACACTGACTGCAAGCACACATGGCCATGTTAAGCTTTCATATGGGTGTTGGGGATCAAACTCAGCTTCTCCTGCTTGCACAGGAAGCATTCTAACACTCTGAGCCATCTTCCTACCCCCTTTTCATGCGTTTTAGTACTTAGGAATGTGAACACATAAATTATTCCAAGATTTCTGCCTCTGCAAATTATTCCAGCCATGCACACTGCAAATTATGAGCCAATCATATATTCTTTTCTTCTAAATTTTTCACGTTTACTTTTGGTATTAAACTTCTCATTCCTCTGAAAAGTGCTTTGAAGTAGGATATGAAGCAGAAACAGCAGCTTCCCACCAAGAGCACTCCCCCTTTAATAAAAGACACTTGAGGCAGTGACTACTCTTATTCTAGGAGCCAACTGAGATCAGGTGGCTAGGTTTTAGCCCAGGGAGATATGAATAGAAGGATTTTTTTCAGGCGCATCAAATCATGGCCCTAAGAGGGAATACATATGCACTCCTGTATCACTTTTTCCTCTTCCTACTGTCTAAAGAAGAGCAGAGATCTCGTCACTATGAATAGAAGCTATAAATTGAGGATGGTAAAAATGTCCAACAGTTCTGAACTTACTGCTGTTTTGTTAGGTTGCTTTGTTGAGGAGTATCTACTTCAGGGTTACTATATATGTGGGTTATCATACTTTGCAGGTATGAACTGTGGATTCAAATTCACTATGTAGCTGTCTGGCTGTCTTGCAACTTACTATGAAGACCAGGCTGGAGTCAAACTATGCCTCCTTTTAAAAGTTTAAAACAAAAACCAAGCAAAGAAAACCGCTAAAGGAAATTCCTCTTGCCTTTCTCCTTCCCCCACCTTTGTTCCTTTAGAAAAGTGTCTGATCGAGGGGCGTTGGTGGCTCACGCCTTTAATCCCAGCTTTTGGGAGGCAGAGGCAGGCGGATATCTGTGAGTTTGAGGCCAGCCTGGTCTACAGAGAGTTCCAGGACAACCACCAAAGCAATACAGAGAAACCCTGTCTTGAAAAACAACAACAACAAAAAAAACAAAAAAAGTGTCTGATGATTCTGGCTCCTTCTATCTAGAGAATTTTAAGACTCATTTTGGCAGGATTCTACTGAAATTCTGATTTAAACTGATTAATTGTTAAAGACATTTCATTTCACATCGCTATTCCTTCATAGTTCTTCAGTACAATTTTGTAGTTTACATTACTAAAAATCCGAGCTATTTTACAAAAATTCTATTCATTTCTATGACTTTTACTCTGATCTTTATTCACTGCAATTGTTAGTGAACAAAATTTACCTTATTAGCTTAATTAGACAATACAATTTTGTTGTTGTGGCTAAAGTTCCAGGACAACCACCAAAGCAATACAGAGAAACCCTGTCTTGAAAAACAACAACAACAAAAAAAACAAAAAAAGTGTCTGATGATTCTGGCTCCTTCTATCTAGAGAATTTTAAGACTCATTTTGGCAGGATTCTACTGAAATTCTGATTTAAACTGATTAATTGTTAAAGACATTTCATTTCACATCGCTATTCCTTCATAGTTCTTCAGTACAATTTTGTAGTTTACATTACTAAAAATCCGAGCTATTTTACAAAAATTCTATTCATTTCTATGACTTTTACTCTGATCTTTATTCACTGCAATTGTTAGTGAACAAAATTTACCTTATTAGCTTAATTAGACAATACAATTTTGTTGTTGTGGCTAGTAAGAAATCGATTTTTTTTTTCTTATTCTGTATTTGCCCCTTTTTTGAACTCTGAATACTTTCTAATTTTTAGAAATTTACTTATTTAAGTTTGAATTTATTAATTACACATTTTTAAGAATTCATGTGTGAAACTACCCTGGCCTGGTACCCTTTTCGGGAGTGGTTCTTTGATGACCTGTTAATTGCCATCAATGGCTCATCATCTATTCAGACTAATAAAATGGTCTCTGGCACATGTTAGCTGTTATAAGAAATCTAGTAGTAGTAGTAGTAGTCGTCGTCGTCGTCATCATCACACAGTTTTATGACTGAGAATTGAACCCAGGATTTTGCATAGACTAGGTAATATTTCTACAACTCAAAAATGCACCCAGGTCCCCAAATCAACTCAAAGCCTAACTACTGAAAATTCATTCAGAATACTTTGTAGCAATTAGGCAGAGATGCTCTTTAGTCTTATCAAAAGCTCCAATTAAAATATACTTTCAGAAGAGTGTGGTGATGGACTTCTTTATTTCCAGTACTTTCAAGGCAGAAGTAGACAGACCTCTGATTTCAAAGTCAGGCTAGTCTACATACTGAGTTCCCAGCCAGGAAGAGATATAGTGAGACTCTTTCTCAGAATTAACAAACAAATATAATTTCATTACTGAGAGGAACATGTATATATGTTAAGAAACAATTTTATTACTATTTATAAGATTATATCATCTAGGTTTTAATCACATATACAACTGATACCTGATTAAAACTCCAAGGAAATTAGATCAAAGAAATGAGTCTTGCTGATTTCTGCCAACTATTAAATGTGGAAGCTATATACAACACATTATAACTAGTCACAGCAAGAGTGAAGTTCAAAGGGAAATAAAAAGATGAGACATTTGAGAAAGAATGTTGTTCTATTATCCACATTGTCCCACCTCTATTAGAACATTAGCTGATGAAACAGAAAGTGCCCTTTCTAAGGAATTATCAACTGTGTACTTGAGTATCTCCAAAGTTATACTCACGCATCATAATCTTGAATTACCAATCCCACAGACCAGATGGCAGTCAGGTACTCATTAACACCATTAGGGCTGATATAATGCAGGGAATCTGAAGAACTGGGGTCACCATTGGAGCCGGTGAAGTCCACTCCCACCTGCCAAGACAGCAGTTCTTACCAAAGTAAAGTCAGGGCTACCTGAACTCGAGGTCCAAGAGAACGTCAGACAAGAGCCCAAAGCATTCCAGAGCCTCTATTGCCATCTCCTAACAAATGCCCACAGCATTTCCACAAACAACTCAACAGGTCTCAGCATGATTCTTTTTCTAGATTGAAGAATCATGAACCACTGCATGTAATGACCCATATTTAGGGGCTGTTTTCCCAAGTTTGTTTTCTATTCCTTAAATTTTACTTCTGGATACACGTATCTGCTTTCTCTAAAGAGGGAGAGATTATTCATCAACTCATCAACTAAGGCAAAATTTCCATTATGAACTTAGATGGTCTATGAGGAAATCATGTTAAACATATCATATAAATTTCATAACAAAGGAAGCTTGGCAGTAAAAGAATGCTGTAAAATGGAGGCGGGGAGGCAATATCTAACAGCCTATACTAGAAAACCCAGTATTACTTACAGTAAAATTCAGCTGGCACCCTCCCATGATGTAGTCAAGAAATGTGCATTCTACAGTAATCTAAAAACAAAAACACATGTATGTTAAATCTAAACTCCGCCAGTGGTGGGACACACCTTTAATCCCAGCATTTGGGAGGCAAAAGCAGACAGGTCTCTGATTTTGAGGTCAGTCTGGTCTACAGAGCAAGTTCTAGGACAGCCAGGGCTACACTGAGAATTGTGTCTTGAAAACCAAAGGGGGAAAAATAACTGGAACTCTCCATCTACACAAGAGAAACAAAGGGCTATGCGGTGATATATTGTTTATGATCTAATAAAGCCTGCCAGAAGATCAGAATGCAAAGCTAGCCACAGCCATAGAGGCCAGCCAGTGGTGGTACACACCTTTAATCCCTGCAGTCACACTAGTTAGCCATTGAGATTGGGCAGTGGTAGTGTGTGCCTTTATTCCCAGCAATAGAGAGTTATATATGAGACAGTAGCTCAGAGTCTCATGGGGCATTCACTCTCAGGGAGTCTGAGGAGCAGCTCAGTGGAGATGCAATCTGAGACCAGAATTGCCCTTTCAGTCTAAGACAGAGCTAAGTGGCTGGCTGCTTTGCTTTCTCTGATCTTCAGCTTGAACCCCGGCACCTGTCTCTGGGTTTTTATTATTCACGTTACGAGGCTCCTTGGTATAGGTTTATCAGAGCTTGTAAGCTGAATATGATGTGACATAAATATGTGGAATCAACCTCACATTTGAGCATATAGAACTCCTCCCCAAAATGTCAGGACTTATAAAGACTTTACTACAATGTAAGCAGGTTAAAATATCAGAAGGGCTCATAAAGTCTGGCCCCTCCAGAGAATTCACAGGCTGTTAAGTGACTGAAGGAGTGATAGACACTTTCTTCAGGAGTCACCACTGGTATGCTGCTCATGCTCCTGAAAATAACCCTAAGGAAACTCATTGAGTTACACACACAGTAGGGGGGCCTGAAAGTAAAAGGAGACTACTTGGGAAGAGAAAGGATGCAAGGACAAGAGAGGCTAATGGGGGAAGGTAAATATGAGCGAAATTCATTATATACATGCATGAGAATGTCATAACAAAACCCAACATGGTTAACCAATACATGCAAATAAAAAAAATAAAAAAAATTCAGTGTGACTAAAAACAAAAAGATTATAATATCAATGTTAAAAGAGGAAATGTAGTCACTGTAAGTTTTATGCAATAGGTCTAATATACTGACAGTTTTAAAAAGCATTTAGTAATAAAACTTTAAAAGAATTAAAAACAAAAACAAAATATGCTCCGAGGGGAAAACTTGGCTTTTCTCCACCATTTATAACAGCTCATGAAAAAAATTATACCCTAGATAGATATACTGGGTCAGGCCATCTCCAATCTCACTCTTCCTAAGACAGTAAAAAACATTATCATTATTAATCCGCTGCTAAAATGTTGCCAATGGGCTCAGTGCGGAAGAGCACCTGCTGTTCTTGCAGAAGACACAGGTTGGTTCCTAGCACAACTAGGCTCGCAACTATCTGTAATTCCAGATCCAGGACACCTCATTCCCTCTTCTGGCCTCCACAGATGACTGTACACATGTACATACACCTCACACATAGTATACATCCCTACGTGCAGGAAAAGCTGTCAAACCTTGGAAGCAGAGTTACTTAAAAGATTTATTATTTCAAATCCTGTTTTTCCCCCAAGATGATCACATGCTCATGGGATTCCAGCAGCTTAAAGTACTTGTTTGATGTAAAACCACACTGATACAAGAACTCAGAAAGTGAACTCAGTACAAGTGGCCAATGACAACTGACCTCACAGTGCTTTACACTGATAACACCTGAATTCTTGTAGCTTTTTTTCTTTTGTCTCTTTTTTTCATTTATGCATTCATATTCAACCTGTGGGAGGAGAAAAATGAAATGGTAATTTTTTTCACTAGCAATAACCAAATTATTAAAATGAATTTCAGTGAACCTTTTCCCTTAAAATCAAATCTTAAAAGAAAAAGAAAAAAAACTAAATGTTAATCTTGTGAGCAAAACAAAAGCATGCTAAGGGGAAAAAAATAAACAGAATAAAACAGAAATACATGAAGCCCGATCCTGTGGCTACAAGAAATTAAACTTCAAATATAAATAGAAACTTGGTAAGAATGGCAGTCTCAGGTACATGAATCTTGAGCCTAAGGTATTTCCTTACCAAAAGATACACTCCTTACAGCCTGGGCTGGGCTTTTGTTCTCTGTGGAAGTGTAACAGGCCCTCAGACCTTAGCACAACTGACTCCACGATGGAAGTACCGTTCAGTCCATAAAACTTAGCAAGTAGACAGCACCACCAGCCAAAATGAAAACAAAGATGTAATTTATCAAAGTTCATAGTTCTGGGAAAGTCTCTAAATGCACTAACCTTGCTTTTTGGCTTCTGCAGTTCTGCTGCTGGTTATCCACTCTGAGTGAAGTATGTCAACCCTGAACATGGTTTTTGTGCTTAAAAGCACCCTGAGAAAGGCTCAGTGCCATAATGGGATTACGAATGCCCTGTGTAGTCAGCAGTTCACTAACAAAGGATTTCTATGGGTTTAAATCCATGTCTGAGCAGTTTTCTCTGATAGATATCCCACAACAAAAACCTTTCCAGGTTTCAGAATCAATGACTACGCCATGGTTTACTTCAACTTGTCCATCAATGACTCTTGGGCTTACCCCTAATTTTCAGTATTTTAGACACTGCAGGGAAAGCTGAAGTCCTTCCTCGAAGGAACAGGAAGGGTACACATGTAGGTCACAGGACATCTGTCCTGCTTAGTCCACCATAGGAGACTCACAGCTACCACTAAAGCTGATGGTGCTCTGTCTTCCCTATACGGGCAGAGCATTGCTTCATCCAGTACTGGAATATTACATTTTCCCTTCCAAGACACAAGAGGAAAGGCTTCTTCCACTCCTAGACATGATACTGTAATGATCTTTGCTTTCTTCCCTGTAGTTTGGAGCCCTCACATACAGTAAGACATATATCTCATGTATGAATTTTGGATGACTATTACATAAAAGTTAAAGATTTTAGGACTTAATACAATATAGCACAAAACCATGATAAACTAATTGCCAAGCCAAAGAAAAGCATAAAATAATAAACAGGTAAACTATAGTGCTTATATAACTACAAAGGTATAACTTACAGGTGAGTTTCTGGAGGCTTCTTTGAGTTTTGTCATGGTGGTTTGAAATGTTCCAATAAGATCATGAGATCCATCATTGTCATAATCATAACACTCTACCTGGATTTAAGTATAATAAAAGTATACAAAAATCAGTATAACTTTATTAAAAAGTATTGACCATAATAAATGTGCTGTTTTAATTAAAATAAGGGAAAAACCCTTAATTTCAGTGTCTAATTGGAGGAACAGGAATTATCTAGAGAAGCAATGCTGGAGTATATTCAAACCACAGCTATCCAAAGAACAGGACCTAGACCATGAAAGATGAGAACCACAAATATGGACACCATTTCACACAGGAAGCAGTTCCCAGTTACTCTACTGTGCTCTTCATAGACGTTGATAGAAGGCTAAATGCAATTATGTCTAGTCTTTCATTTGCTTTACTTAATTATCACTGTATAAGACCTAGAAGCCAGAATCCTAACAGCTAAAAACGACACAACTAAGTCCTAGATAATTTAGAGTTACAGGAAACATGTCTGATCAGCTACAACCCAAGGAGGCTGGGCTTGCAATTATAAGTTAGACATGATAGTCAGAGTTGGTCTGAAGATTGGAAAGCTTACAACACAAAGGAAAACTCTAGGGTAAGAACAGTCAGCTCACTGAAGTATCCATGCTAGGTCACACTTACTCTGATCCCAAGTAAGAAGGAATTCTAGTCTTAGATCTGAATCTTATTAAATGTGCAATATTTCTTCCCCTTCTCTCCTTCCTTGCCTGTCTCAGAAAAAAAGAAAAAATTGTTTGTTTTGTGTTTGTGTGTGTGTGTGTGTGTGTGTGTGTGTGTGTGTTTCTATTAACTGGCAGATGGAAGAAAAAGTAAATATTCACCAGAATGCTAGAACTTTCCAATGGGAAAATAAGGTACTGTGTTCAAGGCAAGCTGAAAAATTGATGACAGGGATGTGAACTTCTAACAGAATTTCAACACATCAATTCATTTACATGGATATTTAATGCATACACAGTGCATTTTCTCTAGATAGACCCAAGAGTTACAGAGAATGGAGATGCTGTTACTATTAGTCCCATTTTTCAGAAATGGAACTTGAAGGAATTAAGTGCAAAAAGCCATCAGATGCATCTTGTGTGGTGAGTGACAGGGACAAAGTAAAACCTCACACCAAAGACACTTCTGGAGATTGTGCTTCAAAGCAGAAGCTTCTAACAAGAAGAGTCTGCATCTGCCTTGGTGAGAGCTCCACCAGGCTTCCAGCCCCCATGAGGCTGCAGTGACCCACCAAAGTATGATACTTAGGATCTTACATGCTCATCTGGCAGAATGACAGTTTCTTTTCAGTTCTACACACTGACTGCTTTTCATAAACTGGATGTCTTAGTTAGCGTTTCTATTGCTGTGATTCAACACCAGGACCAAAATCAATGTGGGGAGGGAAGAGTTTATGCCACTTCCACATCACTGTTCATTATTAAAAGAAGGAGGCAGGATAGGAACCTGGAGGCAGGAGCTGATGCAGAAGCCATGGAGTAGTACTTTCCTACTGGCTTGCTCCTCATAGCTTACCCAGTCTATTTTCTCCAGAACCCAAGACTATCTGCTTAGGGGTGGCACCATCCACAGTGAGCTGAGCCCTACCACAGCATTCATCAATCAAGAAAATGCACCACAGCCTTGCCCACAGGTCAATCAGGTGGGGGCATTTTCTCAAATGAGATTTCCTCTTTCAAAATGACTCCAGTTGGTGTCAAGTTGACATAAAATAAGCCTGTGCACTGAAGTCTTTCATTCGTTACTTGTATTTTCATTATACTTCAGAAACACTTAAAATCAATCAATCGATCGATCGATCAATCAAAACCGGACATTCTAGAATTGCAAAGTGCCTTGTTTAAGGAAATGCCTTATAGATATTTTTTGGCCACGACCAAGTCTGACAGTTTGACTCCTGCCCTACATATTAATACCCAATTTTAAACCAACTGCCTTGAGTAACGTCAAGGGAAAAAAATAATTGATTTTTTTTTCTTAAAGGAAGCAAAATTTCAAGACAGAAAACAAACCATCTTAATGCTTGAATGAGATCACTTTTAGCAGACATTCTTAAACTATGGCAAAACGAAATTTTACATTTTAGATTCCATGGAAAGAACTAAGATTTAGTTAGTTAAGCCTTAGTAAGGACTAAAATGTTTTAAAAGAAAAGGTTTAAAACTTAAATAGAAAATACATCTTTAGCCTCCAAGTTCTGATTATTCACTACAGGAAATAAATGGAAAAGCTCCCTCTTGTCCTTCCGACGGTGACCTAACATCTTCAATACCTGAGTATGTACAGACCAAGGCTGAGGTAGGATGAGTCATACCATTTTTCTTTCTTTTCAAGAATTTAAACACCAGTACTATTCACTATTTAAGCAACAGTATGTGAAAACTTGCGAAATTTAAATGTATGCATATATACACAAGAACATATGTATATTTATGTAAAAAACTGCATACACCACACAATGAATTCTCACTTTAGGCAAGGTGGAAGCATGCACAATTATTTCTCTTACTTTCTTCATGTTTTAAAAATAATACATGCTAGAGTGACAACACAGTGATGGAACCACAGAAAATTCTGACTTTATTCTCTGCTCTGTAATTCTTTACCATACTTTTAAGTAATTTCCAAATAGTACGTACATTGCAGATGTGTGACTATCTGATATTGCAAAGAAATACAGAACTAGAGAACTAAAGTGAGTGATGATGTAGCAAACCAAGTATGTATCACTAAAAGCAAACTAAGAGCTTAAGAATGGAAGACATTTATTAGACAAAGTTCAAAAAATCAGTTTACTTACTATAACAAATTGGCCCTGCAAGCATGCCACTGTGAGTAAAAAATGTTTTAAAAACATGGTTTTGTTGTTAATTTGCCAGAAACAATCAAATAGTCAAGGCATAGACTTCTGCCCTCTCTAGATTTGTCTTTAAATTAGAATTTGTAGCTACTTCGATAACATATAATTCACAGTATATTTACATAGTTATACCATACCTATATTTTCACTGCTCTTTGACACATCATACAACTCAAACTTAACAATAACTTTTTAAATTCTCTATAAACTAGGGACAATTCCTTCTGAAACTCAGAAATTTTAGTGGCTTTTAATAATAGCAACATCTCTGCTGCTGTTTTATCCGTTACAATGTTTTCACTTTTAATACTCTGTCTTTATCCTTGTGTACAATAGAAATTACTATCTACTTTATCAGTAAGGAGGTTACATAACCTACTCAACATCCTTTACCTGGTTAAAGAGCTAAATTGAAATGTAAGCTATGGTCTGACCCCAAACCATGCTGTTATGTTATGCTGTTTCCTATCGTCTTTCCTGTTTTTACTGTATTAATTACAATAAGAAACACCAACAAGACCTTCATCTGTTGAGGTGTAAAGGTAGGAAGTTTTCTAGAAAGATTTGTGTTAGCTTAGTCAGGAGGACCTGAGTTTGATCCTCAGACAGAACTCACCTGCAGAAAGGAGAGCATGTTGATGTTATACACACACACACACACACACACACACACACACACACACACACACACGTTACCTACTTTCTTTTTAAAGACTAGAAGAACCAGGCATAGTTACAGTCATAGCATAGTCTGTATGTGTTCACTGGCTGATTGGTTGGGATTTTGTTTTGTTTGGTAAATACCTACCAATAAAAACATTTAAAGTAGTTGTAGAGACATGATCTGCCTTTCCTTGTTCCTACAATGCCTCCATTATTTTTTCTGCATAATGAAAGGAAGGCTCTGAGATCTCAGAATAACTAGCATCTGCTTTAATTTTCAAAGGATACACTATAGGCAAAAAATGTAGTCAGTGCTTAATATTTGCTGAGCAAAAGAATTTCATAAAAAAGAAGCCATATTTAAATTGGATGTTTTCTTTTTTTAATCAGGTTAAAATGAAAATTATGCTGCACCCTTAAACATTAAGTCAACATATTAGACAACAATAACATAGTCAAATACTTAAGCCTATAATGTCATTTATTTCAAAAAATGCTAACTTATATATTAGTTTTAGATGGTAGGTAAAAATTTATTCATCTATAGGAGTTATATACAGTGTCTGAATTGTTACAGTGTGTCTTGAGTTTTTGACTTTACAAGTCAAAGGTGACACCATTCAGTAGACACTGCATTGGTGCTGAATTTTAATCTTTCCCTGCACTAGCAACATGTGACGATTCTCTTGTAATGCTGGACAGTGGCAGCAAGCCACACCTGTAGTCAGTCTGCCACAGAATCACCATAGTAAATAAATACCAACATTTAATAGTATACTGGGCTGCTGTAATTTGGTAAGTTAGGTATGTTAAATGGATTTTAAATATAATTTCTTCCTTGCCGTACATTCCCCTTTCCTTCCCCTTTCCTTTCTCCCCCATCTCTCCCCTCAAACAAACACAGGGCCTCAAGATCACTAAGCAATCACTAACCAAGCTACAACTTTAGCCTAACATAGAAGGATTTCTATTTATGACATGTTTAACAGGACCCAATAACATAGTAAACTACATAGTACCTGAGTAATAATTTCTAATTACCTTAATGGTTTTGTCCATATCTCCATAGCACAGAGAGTTAAGAGAGATTTTAAAAGGCTTCCACACAGGATTCAGGTTGTTTTTGATAACCTGCAAAGAATAAAGGTTTTATTAGAACATGCAGTTCCTCAGTATCTTTCTCTGGGTTCTTACTACATTCTTATACTCATTCATCATCCTATCACTCAAACATTTCCAAGAAAAATTAGTAGGATAATACTTAATAATCTAATCATTATATCATAAGTTATATAAAGTGTCCAATTGTAGTACATTCTGAGTAAACAAGAAAGGTGTTTGGGAAATATATGTACTTAATAACAATGTATATTTAGAAATGGTAGCATGTGGATTTTTTGAAACCAGGCATTTCACCATAGTCCCAGAGGATTAAAAAATAGAGCAGGATAAGAATGAACCTTGTGGGTCTTGGGGAAATAGCTCAGCAATTGAGAGCACTGGTTGCTCTTCCAGAGGACCCAAGTTTGATTCCCAGCACCCACATGGTGGCTCAGAACCATCTGTAACTCCTGTTCCAAGGCATCCAATGACCCCTTCTGGCCTCTATGGGCATTGTATGCACGTGGTACAGAGATACATGCAAATAAAACACCCACATTCAATTTTAAAATATTAAAAAGATAAACCTTGCTGTGCTGAACATGAATTGGAAAATTAAATCTAAACATTACATAGACATACAAAAATGACATCCTAGTATAGATTAACACAGCTAGCATTCAGATCTTGATGTCTACTTTGTATGGTAAGAACTGGTCCCTTTTAACTCTGCAACAAAAGAAAATATAAACATATTCTATCAATGTTGAAAAACTCAGGATCCATTGAACTCCTCGATCAAATCTGGATTTAATCAGTACAAAAATTAATGTGTGATGACAATTTGTGATTTTAAAATAAAAAAAGAAGAATGCTTGCTAATGTAGACATAAGGATTGCAGTGGTTTAAACTCCACAATCAAGGGCATTTGAACACTTATTTTCCTCTTGGTACTACTGTTTAAGTAGGTTAAGGAGGTGTGGCTTTGCTAGAGGAAGTATGCTCGATGGAGGTGGGTTTTGATGTTTCAAGGACACACAACATTCCAAATTCACTCTCTACTTCCTGCTTGAGGTTCAAATCTCCACTCTTATCCCTCTGAAACTGTAAACCCCAATAAGCCCTTCCTTCAATAAGTTGCCTTCATCATGGTGTTTTATCACAGTACTAGAAGAGTAATTAATACAGTGGTGATTTGAGAAAAACAAAAATCACTATTGTATAGTCTCAATAGAATGGACCAAAGCAAGGATCATCAATGATTGCTGAAACCACTAGGCAAAATGCTAGACAAAGGTAATTCACTCATCCTCAAAGTATTACACCACAAGTAACTTACAAATTATAAACAGAAAACACAGGACTTTACAACTCTCAAAGCTTATAGTCACCAGCATTAACAAACTGCCTGACTTCATCAGCACTGTGCAGTCTGAACACCATGAATGGAACATATGGAGTGTTCTTGACATAATGTTTAATGTGGATCTAGTTGTGAGAAAACACAAGAATCCATTCTAGCCTCGATGCAAGTATAGGCAGGTAAAAATAAGCTTATAACTATGAGCCCACTAGGAAAATGTACAATTTGAGCCTCCCTTGGACCTAGACAAACACAATCTATATAAAACATGCTCAACTCAGAGGAAATCTGAGCATGTATGGCACTCAGAATGGCATTAGTAAATCGATGGTAATTTACTTAGGTACAGTGATACAGCAAGTCCTGATTTTTTTGAGAGAGGGTCTCACTATGAGCCTGATGCAACGTTTAAAGGGAATCTAGATGCTTGTAGTTTACATCAGGATGGTTTTTCAAAGAAAAATAAATTGTCTTTATAACTGTGTGTGTGTGTGTGAGAGAGAGAGAGAGAGAGAGAGAGAGAGAGAGAGAGGAGAGAGAGAGAAAGAGAGAGAGAGAGAGAGGAGGAGGGAGAGAGAAAAAGGGAGGGAGAGACAGAACAAGAATACATTTAGTATTCTTTATACAATTTAAAGTTTTTCAAAAATGAAAAGAAGCATGGCAGTGTGTCTTTTTTTAAGAGAAAAGAGTAAGTAAATGAGCATATTGATATATCTCTGGCTTCATATAAATCTGAATTAAAATGAATGTTTTCTGTGAGTTCAAGGCCAACCTGGTGTACACTGTAAGTTCTAGGACAGGCAATGTTATGTGGAAAGACCATGCTCCAAAAACAACAACTGTGTGTATGTGTGTGGGGGGGGGGTAGGTTTTTTTTAAAATTCTTATTATAATAACGCCAAAGAAAACAACATTTCTACTTTTAGATTCAAATACTTACCTCCGTTCGGTGAACCATCAGCCAGTTGCCATCTGAGGTCTGCTTGTGAAACTCCAAGTATGGATCTGACTTTCCAAACAGATCCTACATTTAAACAAACAGCTTTCACTCTTTTATGAAACCCCGTGTGAACACACTTTATACATGTTATTCATACATACATATATGTTTGTATAACCACACAAGTCCAACTCTAGAGTGCAGTTATACCAGTTACAAATATCAATCCCATCACTTCTAACACTAGCTTAGAAATGTGCAGAAGTGGGCAGGAACAATGGCTCAGCCACTAAAGGCTAGATTCACAACCAAAAATATAAGAAATGTGCAGAAGTAAACTAGAGAGGAATATTAAGGCATTTGTGTACTTTAAAATCCGTTGATAAAATGTGCTTTGGTTTAATGTCAGCATTTTAAGTGTCCATTCAGATAGTATTAAACACATAAATGATATCCCAAACAGTAGCCATATCAACTCTAGGAGAGACAAGGGTAGTTAGCCATGGGAAAGGAGACTGGAGGGCTTCAGTAACATTTCCCAGGTCACACACTTTATTCATTGATAGATTTGGGCTTTAACTGTTTATCTCTGTCTTCCATATCTGACTCCGGTTCATCAATTCAAAACATTTTTTTTTTTTCACACAAAGAAGCAGAGGGAGACACTGAGCATACGGTAGAAATCAAAAGCACAAACTATCTTCTATACCCTGTATACCTCACCACAGTATTCTTATATAAGGCTAAGGTACAGTGAAGTCTCAAAAGTGCTTATTCCTTTCTTCATCTCATGCAGATAAAATACTGGCATGATGTACAAACTACTCCATAAGGTTAAATTCAACCGTATAGTGATCATTCTTTTCCTTATCTTCATTTTGAAACATACATATTGCTAAGTTCATATTACTTAGTTTTTGGGTTTTTTTTTTTTGGTTTTTGAAAATAGAAGGAGCACTTCTTAATACCTCAAGCAATACATGTAGATTTGCTACTGTACTGAAGATTTATTTAGTCTTGAACTAGCCTTAGTATTTAATTACAACCTAAGTTAGGGCTGGAGAGCTTGCTCAATGGTTAAGAGCACATGCAGCTCTTTCAGATGTCGCTGGTTTAGTTCAGCTCAAACCACCAGTAACTCCAATTCTAGGGGATCCAACTCCCTATTCTGCATATGTGGATATCAGGCATAAACAAGGTACACACACATCTATGTAGGCACTCAAGACATACACATAAACAAAATAAAATATTTTTAAATATTTTTCTTCAAAGACCTATGATAGGACTATTTCTTGAGCAAATTTAATGTCAAACAAATAGCATATTTGGTACAGTGAAAAATAATAAAACAACTATAGGGAATTTTTTTTGCCTTATCTCTAAGAATCTTAAGTAAGTCTAAGAATGGAGTCATGTAAGGGGAATTCTGAGTGCTTGTGAGAAAGCTCCAAGAAAACAAGAGTCTTGTGATCTCAGTTTCTTTATAAACACAGAATTGTTTTTGGAATGTGTTTCCATGCTCCTTCCAGGTGTAGCAGATAGGAGTATGTTGACTTCAGATGCTGTTATTCATATGCCTTTATGGAAAAACATGTTTTTGCTATGTTTGGCCTGTCCTTGTGATTGAAAACCTTGGGTGATTTTTCTTAACCCAGGGAGTATAAATTGTCTGATGCTCTGAATAATGTTGGGTATTGCATTTAGTCTGCCTAATTTTAAGCCCCACTCCCCCAGGTTCACTCCGCCAACTGGAGCAGTAAATAGTATGAACCTACTAAACTAGATTTACTTAAGGGCTATATACTATGTAAATAGAGAAATGTACAAACATGCAAGTATATGTGTGAACACTTATGTGTATGTATACATACGTATAAGTTTGTGAACATCTATGTGTATATGTACAATTACACATATGTAAAATCCTAGGTTTTTATGAAATTAAAGTCATAAAATATAAATATTTAAAAAATATTACAGGAAAGAAGCAAGAACAGAGAAGAACAGAAAGAAAGAGAAACTAAATCTCTTGGGTATGCTTCGTTTTATAGATTTAGGTTTGAAACTACGGGACTTGTTTCTTTAGAGACAGGTGCTCACTATGCAGCTCAGGAGCCTCAAACTTGTAATACTTCTACCTGCTTCCTGAGTGTCAAGTCTACAAACATCATGGCCACTCTTGGCTAAATTAGAATGTAATGATCCTCTCTCCTTTTGTGTATGTGGTGGTGAAGATTAAATTAGAGCCACACACAGACAGACTAGGCAAGCACTCTACCACTCAATTTTTACATGATTTTAAATCAAAGTTTTTTAAAGCAATTCCTAATATCAAGTGCAAAATCAAATTATATGTCACTCTGACAGAGATTAATTATTTCATTAAAATGCAAGAATTTAACTTCATGTGAGTGGAATACATATACCTTAGCTCACACTGTAATACAAGTACCATTACTTATACCAATGATAATTTATTCTGAAGTAAGTGGTAAGAAGATTGTGCTAGTATATTTAAGAATTGTGATTTTCAGCATAAGAGAAAAGAGGTAGACTAGTAACAGAAGTAAATCCTTCTGAATCTGTATTTGAATTGGAAATACTTGTATAAATTATGATTTAGATTTTTATTTTTGAGATCGGGTCTAACTATGTAGTCAAACTGGTCTTAAACTCAGGATCCTCCTGCCTCCGCTGAGTGCTGGTATAACAGGCATATACCACTATACCTGGCCATTTAGTCTTATTCAAAACATTGCCACGAATGGTGGCACATGCTTGAAATACCAGTACTTGGGAGGCAGAGACAAGAAGATCTCTGTGAAGTCAAGGTTGACCTCGTTTATATAGTGAGTTTCTGGACTACATAAAGAGACCCTGGGTCAAAAATAAATAAATAAATAAACAAATAGATAAATAAATAATTAAATCCATAAATAGTAAATATCCTTCCTATTAGGCATGGTGGCTCATACCTATAATCTCAGTACTTGGGAGGCAGAGGCAGGAGGACTGCTATGAGTTGGAGGTTTAAAAAAAGAAAAAAAAAAAAAAGGAAGAAAAATGTTTAAAAACCAGTGATGGGAGCTAGAGACAAGGATGACTCAGCAGTTAAGACACTTGCTGTGTAGCTGTGGACCAGATTTAGGTTCCCAGCATACACATAACAAGTCAGGCAACTAACAGACATCTGTAACTCTACATCTGAAGGATCCAGTACCCTCCTCTTGCTTCTGTACACACAACCATATGTGCTCCGGCACATATATTTACATATACACATAAAATTAATCTTAAAATGGACATTTTCTCTGGGTCTATATGCACTAAAAGGGCTAGAAACACACCTGAGTGACAGCACCAACAAATGGCTAGCATCTCTACCCCAGTGTGGCCCCAAATACACAACCACTAAAATGAGATCAGGCTCCTTTTAATGTTCCAGTCTGGGGCAGAAGTTATATAAAATTAGCTGGGAACATCATGTCATCTGATAGAAATACAACAAGGGGACTATCTACAGACTCCTGTTTGTACCAAAGTGTCTCAAACCTGAGGCTGGGGTTGGGATAATTTGAATATCAACCAGATTCTCATGTTGTAATTAGCAGTTATTAATGTTTAAATCCATGAGTCTATAGTTATTTAAAGAATAAAATAAAACAACAAAAAATACTTAGTGACCACATCTGGAGGATGCTAGGGACCAACTAATTCAGGAAGAAAAAATAGAGGTATACAAAGGGTATCAAATATTTTGTCATTCCTGTATAAAACACACTTCAGTGATCAATAATCAACAGACAAATATTGGGGCTGGATAGAAGGTTCAGCACTTCAAAGTACTTGTTACTTTTGTAGAGGACCCAGCTTCAATTTCCAGCACCCATGCAGTGACTCACAACCTTCCATAACTCCAGTTCCTAGGGAGCTGAACATCTCTTCTAACCATCACGGGCTTCATGCACACACATACACAAAGGCAAAAGTCACACAAGCATAAAATAAAATAAATGAATGTAATAACATACCCCTTAGTTTGGGGAAATGTCTCTCTATAGAAGCATTTTACTAAGAAATGGAGCCCTGGTAGAGTAAGGATATGTATTGTATATCTGTAAGATAATATATGTAAGATAATGTGTATATCAATACACATTAAAATCACCAAAATATATAAGCCCCTGGTAGAGTTACACATCACAATTGATGAAATTGTCTTTCCATCCAAAATATACAAAGAACTCAAGAAGCTAGTCTCCAAAACACCAAACAATCCAATTAAGAAGTGGGGTACAGAACTAAATTGACAATTCTCAATAGAGGAATCTAAAATGGCTGAAAGACACATAACAAAGTGTTCAACTTCCTTAGCCATCAGGGAAATGCAAATCAAAACAACTCTGAGATACCATCTTACTCCTGTCAGAATGGCCAAAATCAAAAACACCAATGACAGTTTATGCTGGAGAGGATGTGGAGAAAGGGGAACACTTCTCCACTGCTGGTGGGAGTGCCAACTTGTACAGCCACTTTGGAAAT